TAGGGTAATCTATAGGTTATGGTTAATTAGGGTAAGCCATAATGATTGTGATGAGATAAAGAGTGTTTGAAGATTGAAATATAATGATTTTTTCGATCTTTATATTTCAACCTTATTGTGACCAGTAGATTGTGTTTGGTACGGGTAAACACAAAATGAAAAGGAATTTATAGGTAGGAACAAACAAGAAGAGTACAACGAAGGTGCTTTGATGGTATATTATTCTTAAACTATAAGGTATTAATTTTCCTTTCTTTCATTTTTTTTGGTCAAGATATGATGTCTTTTCTATTTTTATTTTGTATTTTTTTGTCAAGATGTAATGTCTTTTCTATTTTTATCATAAATATTTTGTGTACAAAATAAAAGTTGTATCATATGATTGTGTGGCTTGGAGAATAAATAAACATCAAAGTGATAAAGATGCACAATACATTTATAAGTAATGACAATTAAGAGTTATGATATGTTGAACTGAGTTTCTACACCATAGGCCATTTACACCAGATGTATGTCATGGTTTAGCTTTGCACATATTTCAAAGTGAGACAAAAATTTATTTTAAAAAATGAGATGTATTTATAGTATGAAATACGGTGTAAGTGTTAAAATGAGTATCAAAGAATCATTTCTCAATAACTAAGCATGATAATGATAACGAGATAGGACAAAGCATGATAATGATAACTTTGATAATAGTGTATCTAGTTATCATTGTCATATTAGAGCATTATAATGATATATATCAAAGATATTGGGTCAGAAATGGATGAATAATTACATAGCAAAATTGTTCTTTAATTTTCACACGTTCTCACAGAAAAGAACATTCTTTATTTTTTTTAGAGTTAAACGTGGAGTATATTTTGGAGTTTGAAGGTGAGTTGTGTGGATATTAAAAAATTTAATTAAGTTATTTAAAAAATTTGAATGTGTAAAATAATGGGAAAAAAATAGGTGGCACACATTTAAAGAATTCAAATTAGTATAATAGATGTTGGTGCTCTTAAATCCTTGATAAATCTTTATTCTCCATCCCAAACCCAAAATAATGATGAATCAAATTCTATATTTCTCTGTTGCAGGTTTAAATTGGGTTTAGGTATCCATGCATCATCCTCATCCTTGCAATGGAATAATATTTTTAATATAAATATTATATTTTTTCAACATCAAATCACATTTTAAATAATAATTAAAATTATCTTGAAATTTTTCAAACATACATTTTAAATAATAAAGTATAAGTTAAAATATCCAAGCATTGAAAATAAAACTAAAATTTCAAATGATCAAAATTAAATAATAAAGAACAAACGGCTATAAATATGATGGATTTAAGGTATGTACTAGTTTCCTCATTACCCTACTGAAACCTATATTTTGTAATCAAGCAAAAAAAATAAATTCGGACGTAAACCCATTCAAAATATAATTGTTGAACAAGTCACTCCAAACACAAGGAGATTAAATTATGTTTTCATAAAATTGAGATTAATTCAAAAACATTTTTTTGAAAAATTAATTTATGTTAGTTCAACCATTGAAAAAAGATAAAGCCATAGAAAAATAGAAAATAGAGAATTAGTGAGGAAGAAAAATTTATCTAGGAGGCATAATATGACGACATTCTTGGACGTGTAAACATCATTATTTCACCCTTTATTGATTCAAAACACTTTTTCGTGTTACACTTGTTTGTATATTCATTTTTCACAACCCAAAATATATGTCCCCAAAACCATTTTGATATCACATTTATTATCCAAGGTGCACACTTGTAAAAAAATCCTCTTCCCCACAATGGGTGCCATTTGTTGTGACATTTTAAACCATTTTAGTAGAATAATAGAAACCAAATTTGATGTGTTTTTTGTATTTGTTAAAGAATAATAGTAACTAAATTAAATGGTCTCAAGCATAATAGTAACCATTTTAGCTTCAAATACACCAAAAAATTTGATGTGATTGGTAAAGAATAGTAGCAACCAAATTAAATGGTCTCAAGCATACTAAGTATCATATAAATAATAATAGAAAATCCACAACAAGCAAGATAAATTTAATAGTCTAGAGCACAAAGAACTTGGTTACCTAGTTATATAAAAGTAATGTACTCTGGAGGGGAGAAAATATCTCTGATTCACTATACTTTAAAGAATTCTTATAAAAGATTATATATGTGTTATAAGATAACAGTCACTCAAGTTCTTAAGAACAAACCCTAATTTCAACTTAAGTGTTTCTCAATCTCACTATATATATATATATATATATATATATATATATATATATATATATATATATATATATATATATATATATATATATATATATATATATATATATATATATATATATATATATATATATATATATATATATATATATATATATATATATATATATATATATATATATATATATATATATATATATATATATATATATATATATATATATATATATATAACAAACTCAAGGTGCTTAGAATTGTTTTCTAATCCCCTTTGGTATTGTTTGAAATTATGTTCTACCAATGACAAGATGTCATACACAAGTTTTAAACCGTGTCTTTGACAACAAGATGGAGTAATAGTTAAAATAAATCTATAAAATAAATAACATAAGAAGTTGTTAACTCAGCTTGGTGCAAAGTCACATACGTTTGGAGGGGATCAACCAAATGAAAAAATTCACTCTTAGTAGTTAATATTATATGAGGCTCTCATCTGAACTCTCCTAGTTCAGTGTATTTTCCTAATACTACCCGTGAACTTCGATGTAGACTTCCCCTAAATCTGAGACCCCTCTCACTTTCACTCAAACAGTTCCCCAAGTGTTCGTACAATTACAAAAAGTATATGGAGTGATGAATCACAAATACCATACAAATACTATATTCTCCAAACTTAGAAAGATAACTCACGAGTAGAGTATTACAACCCAAAATACAAAGACTCAATAACTTCTAAAATGTATAGCTTTACAAAGTAAGGACTCAATCTTCACCCTTTATTTTGAAAAGCTTATGCAGATTTGTATCTATGTCAATTTCATGTTTGTCTTAGTAGTACCACTTATAGTGTCACGTGTTTTTTGTTTTACATATATTGATTGAAGTAGCTTCTTTAGTTTTATAATTTAAGTACATGAGTTGTTTTTGGTTGTCTATAGTTTATGTTAGGGGTTACCATGTATCATATATATATATATATATATATATATATATATATATATATATATATATATATATATATATATATATATATATATATATATATATATATATATATATATATATATATATATATATATATATATATATATATATATATATATATATATATATATATATATATATATATATATATATATATATATATATATATATATATATATATATATATATATATATATATATATATATATATATATATATATATATATATATATATATATATATATATATATATATATATATATATCACGTTTTAATATTATATATCATATACTGTCACATATCAAATATTAATAAATAGTTATTTTTTATTTATTTTGTTTTGATCACCATTATCTCTTAATTATAATTAGTAGATTCTCTTTCATTATTTTTTTCTAGTCTACTATATGATTTTTTCTTTTAAAAATAAAATTAGAAGGAAGCAAATTTAATTGATTTTTGGATATCGGTTATCATTATATTTAGTCACTTTTATTAATCAAGTTTATTTTTTATTATTTATACAATGTTAGAAAATACCAAAAAGATTTCCTTATTTTTAGTTTATTAGTTAATTATGTAATATTAAAAAGGCTAAAAATATATATATTTTAATTACTTTATTTTAGCATAGAAAGATGTAAAAAAAATTTGTTTTAATTACTTTTATAAGGATGAAAATACCAAAAATAATTCAATTATTTATTTTAGTATTTTATTTCTAGTTTTTCATTAGTTAATTTGAATTATATTAAAATGTAAATAAATTTATGTCATAATTATTATTTGATATAAATATTTATATTTAAATTAATTAATAATTTCTTACTACCCTATTCCAAAGGAGGATCCCTTGTTGTTAACACTCTTGTCATTTACATTTTTATTTGCCCTTAGATGTGAAATCAACATTTTTGAATGGTCCCCTAGATGAGGTCCTGCATGTCATTTACACAACCTCTTGGGTTTGTGATATGGGAATAAGCGAGAAAAGTGTATAAGTTGCACAAAGCCCTTTATGGTCTTAAACAAGCACCTAAGACATGAAATAAGAAAACCGACTCATACTTGAACATGAAATAAGACAACCGACTCATACTTAGTCGAATTGGGATTTATGAAGTGTAGATCTGAATATGGTGTCTATGTACAAGTCATGACACAAGTTATAATCATCATCAGCTTATATGTCGATGACTTGCTAGTAACTGTCAAAGTTTAAAGAGTCAATGAAACGTGAATTCGAAATGTAAAATCTGGAAAACTTGTCGTATTTCTTAGGCATGGAATTTATAATTACTAAGCAAGGCTTGATCCTCATCTCTCAATCTCTTCTCTTTCATTCCTTCCTCACCCAAAATGCTTCAGCACTAACACAGAGGAAGAATAAGTTTACCGTAATTAATGTTATCGAAACAAAAACATAAAAAAACATGCAAACTCTTTTATTTAATAACACTTCCCGTTATAACAATTTTTGTTTGAGAATAATTGACAAAAATTTAAAAATACGATAGTATTAAATAAATAAATAAAGAGGAATGTTAAAAACACTCTTTTTTTAACACTATCTCTAATACTCACTCTTTAATTAAATAAAATACATGCGAGTCATACCACTTTATATGATACCATATACATTAATTATTCTATAAATTTAAAAAATCATTTTTCTCTTATAAATATGATCATAACGAGTATTAAACACTAATCTATTAATCAATACTCATTTTCATCCCCGTTGATCTCATCATGAATCACAATTAGTGCCTTCTAATCATTCCTCGTCATCCAAGTTGATCTCATCAAGAATCACAATTAACGCCACTATGAAAGCATAATCGACATTAGGATAAACGGTAACCATGAATTGGTCTTTACCAATTAAAACACTTTGGACAGTGTGTTTTTTGTGCATCTACAATTACAATAAATCAAAAAATTAATTTATGATTAGAATAAATATCACATGATTAACTACAACTAATTGTACTTATGGTTATGTATAATAAATTACCTGGGCAACAATGTTTTTAGATTCACCAGCATAAACAGTGCAAGAACGTTCAAGCCAGCTACCTTTGACTTTAAAATCACAAACATCCTCTTTTGTGTTACCAGCTAAAAACACATTTAATTTGGTATTAAACTGAATTAGTGATGATTTCTTCAATGTAAATATAAGATCTTTAGCTTCTGTGCTTTCACCCCTAAAAGCTTCCCACCGATCATGCATAGTTATTATCTACAGCAGAAGCAATGGATATTTTACGTAGAGTTCAAAAGGCGCATGCATGCATGCACAGCAAAATTGTGTATTATTTCATATAAAAATAAAATAAAATAATTATTAAGTAATTAAGTAGAATAAAATAAGATAATAAAGGTGAACCTTGCGACGTAGGGTGGTAATGGGATTGCCGGCAGCATCAAGTAAGACACGGCGGTCACGGAGGGTTAAAAGAGAGCCTTTAACTTGGAAGATGGTGTTATCGTTGATGTCAGTGACAACGAAGTTTCCGTCTGAAATTGCCATAACTTTTCTCACGATGGCGAGGTCTATTGGATACGGAGCACAATATTGAGGGCCGTATATGCTGGTGGGGAGTGGCGGCATTGGTTCAAAGGGAGAGGGTTGTGGTTGATTAGGGTAAGCCATAGGTTGTGGTGGATTAGGGTAATCTATAGGTTGTGGTTGATGAGGGTAAGCCATAATGATTGGGATGAGATCAAGAGTGTTTGAAGATTGAAATATAATGATTTTTTAGATCTTTATATTTCAATCTTATTGTGACCAGTAGGTTGTGTATGGTAAGGGTAAACACAAAATGAAAAGGAATTTATAGGTAGGAACAAACAAGAAGAGTACAACGAAGGTGCTTTCATGGTATACTATTCTTAAACTATAAGGTATTGGTTTCCTTTCTTTCAGTTTTTTTGGTCAAGATATGATGTCTTTTCTATTTTTATTTTGTATTTTTTGTCAAGATGTAATGTCTTTTCTATTTTTATCATAACTATTTTGTGTACAAAATAAATCTTATATCATGTGATCGTGTGGCTTAGAGAATAAATAAACATCAAAGGGATATAGGTGGACAATACATTTATAATGAATGACCATTAACAATTATGATATGTTGACACTGAGTTTCTACACCATAGGCCATTTACACCAGATGTATGTCACGGTTTAGCTTTGCACAGATTTAAAAATGAGACAAAAATTTATTTAAAAAAATGAGAAGTATGTATTTATAGTATAAAATACGGTGTAAGTGTTAAAATGAGTATCAAATAATCATTTCTCAAAAACTAAGCATGATAATGATAACGAGATAGGACAAAGCATGATAATGATAATTACGCATGATAATGATAACTTTGATAATAATGTATGTTGTTATCATCGTCATATTAGATATTGGGTCAGAAATGGATGAATAATTACATAGCAAAATTGTTCTTTCATTGTCGCATGTTCTCACATAAAAGAACATTCTTTATTTTTTTTAATGTTAAACGTGGAGTATATTTTGGAGTTTAATGGTGAGTTGTCTGGATATTAAGAAAATATAATTAAGTTATTTAAAAATTTTGAATGTGTAAAATAATGGAGGAAAAATAGGTGGAACACATTTAAAGAATTCAAATTAGTATAATAGATGTTGGTGCTCTTAAATCCTTGATAAATCTTTGTTCTCCATCCCAAACCCAAAATAATGATGAATCAAATCCTATATTTCTCTGTTGCAGGTTTAAATTAGGTTTTGGTATCCATGCATCATCCTCATCCTTGCAATGGAATAATATTTTTAATATAAATATTATCTTTTTTCAATATCAAATCACATTTTAAATAATAATTAAAATTATCTTGAAATTTTTCAACATACATTTCAAATAATAAAGTAGAAATTAAAATATCAAAGCATTGAAAATAAAACTAATATTTCAAATGATCAAAATTAAATAATAAAGAACAAACCGCTATAAATATGATGGATTTAAGCTATGTACTAGTATTCTCATTACCCTACTGAAACCTATATTTTTTAATTAAGGAAAAAAATTAAATTCGGACGCAAGCCCATCTAAAATAGAATTTGTTGAACAAGTCACTCCAAACAAAAGGGCGTTAAATTGTGTTTTTATGAAATTGAGATTAATTCAAAAATATTTTTTTAAAAATTGATTTATGTTAGTTCAACCATTGAAAAAAGATAAAGCCACAGAAAAATAGAAAATAGAGAATTAGTGACGAAGAAAAATTCATCTTGGAGGCATAATATGACGACAGTCTTGGACATATAAACATCATTGTTTCACCCTTAAGTGATTCAAAACACTTTTTCGTGTTACACTTGTTTGTATATTCACTTTTCACAAGCCAAAATATGTCTCCAAAAAAGTTTTGATATCACATTTATTATCATCCGAGGTGCACACTTGTAAAAAAAAAAACCTCTTCCCCACAATGGGTGCCATTTGTTGTGACATTTTAAACCATTTTAGTAGCATAATAGCAAACAAATTTAATGTGTTTGGTGTTTTTGTTAAAGAATAATAACAACCATATTAAATGGTCTCAAGCATAGTAGTAACTATTTTAGCTTCAAATCACCAAAAAATTTGATGTGTTTGGTAATAAACAGTAGCAACTAAATTAAATGGTCTCAAGCATACTAAGTATCCTATAAATATTGATAGAAAATCCACAACAAGTAAGATAAAGTTCATAGTCTAGAGCAGAAAGAACATGGTTACCTAGTTAGATAAAAGTAATGTACCCTGGGGAGAAAATGTCTCTGATTCACTATACTTTCAAGAATTCTTATAAAAGATTATATATGTCTTATAAGATAACAGTCACTTAAGTTATTAAGAACAGACCCTATTTTTAACTCAAGTGTTTCTCAATCTCACTAAAAACCCCAAGGACACATGTTAAAAAACTTATAAATAGAAAATTTGTATCGGAAAAAACAATAAACTCATTAATTGTAATCTTGTATTAGTTTTAATACACAATTTTCAATAAATTTTTACTATATTTATCTTTTAACGTGTGCCCTTGGGTCACAAGATAACATTATCCTATATATATATATATATATATATATATATATATATATATATATATATATATATATATATATATATATATATATATATATATATATATATATATATATATATATATATATATATATATATATATATATATATATATATATATATATATATATATATATATATATATATATATAACAAACTAAAGGTGTTTAGAAGTGTTTTCTAATCCCCTTTGGTATTGTTTGAAATTATGTTCTGCCAATGATAAGATGTCATACAAAAGGTTGGAACCGTGTGTATGACAACAAGATGGAGTAATAGTTAAAATAAATCTATAAAAAAAAATAACACAAGAAGTTGTTAACTCAGATTGGTGCAAAGTGACATACGTTTGGAGGGCATCAACCTAATGAAAAAATTCACTCTTAGTAGTCAATATTATATGAGGCTCTCATCTGAACTCTCCTAGTTTAGTGTATTTTCTTAATACTACCCGTGAACTTCGATGTAGACTTCCCCTAAATCTGAGTCCCCTCTCACTTTCACTCAAACACTTCCTCAAGTGTTCGTACAATTACAAAAAGTATATGGAGTGATGAATCACAATTACCATACAAATACTATATTCTCCTAACTTAGAAATATAACTCACAAGTAGAGTATTACAACACAAAATATAAAGACTCAATAACTTCTAAAATGTATAGCTTCACAAAGTAAGGTCTGAGTCTTCACCCTTTATTTTGAAAAGCTGATGCAGATTTGTATCTATGTCAATTTCTTTTTGTTTTGGTAGTACCACTTATAGTGTCACCATGTATCATATATATATATATATATATATATATATATATATATATATATATATATATATATATATATATATATATATATATATATATATATATATATATATATATATATATATATATATATATATATATATATATATATATATATATATATATATATATATATATATATATATATATATATATATATATATATATATATATATATATATATATATATATATATATATATATATATATATATATATATATATATATATATATATATATATATATATATATATATATATATATATATAACATTTTAATACTATATATCATATACTATCACATATCAAATATTAATGAATAGTTATTTTTTATTTATTTTGTTTTGATCACCATTACCACTTAATTATAATTAGTAGATTCTCTTCCATTATTTTTTTTCTAGTCTACTATATGGTTTTTTCTTTTAAAAATAAAAATAGAAAGAAGCAAATTTAATTGATTTTTGGATATTGTTTATCATTATTTTTAGTCACTTCTATTAATTAAGTTTAGTTTTTATTATTTATATAGTGTTAGAAAAGACAAAAAGGATTTCCTTATTTTTAGTTTATTAGTTAATTATGTAATATTAAAAAGACTATAAAAATATATATTTTAATTACTTTATTTTAGCATAGAAAGATGTAAAAAGAATTTGTTTTAATTACTTTTATAAGGACGAAAATACCAAAAATATTTTAATTATTTATTTTAGTATTTTTATTTCTAGTTTTTCATTAGTTAATTTGAATTATATTAAAATACAAATAAATATGTGTCATAATTGTTATTTGATATAAATATTTATATTTAAATTAATTAATAATTTCTTGATACCCGATTCCAAATGAGGATCCCTTGTTGTTGACACTCTTGTCATTTACATTTTTATTTACCCTTAGATGTGAAATCAAAATTTTTGAATGGTCCCCTAGATGAGGTCGTGCATGTCATTCACACAACCTCTTGGGTTTGTGATATGGGAATAAGCGGGAAAAGTGTATAAGTTGCACAAAGCCCTTTATGGTCTTAAACAAGCACCTAAGACATGAAATAAGAAAACTGACTCATACTTTAACATGAAATAAGACAACCGACTCATAATTTGTCGAATTGGGATTTATCAAATGCAGGTCTGAGTATGGTGTCTATGTACAAGTCATGACACAAGTTATAATCATCATCTGCTTATATATCGATGACTTGCCAATAACTGTCAAAGTTTAAAGAGCCGATGAAACGGGAATTCGAAATGTCAAATCTGGGAAACTTGTCGTATTTCTTAGGCATGGAATTTAAAATTACTAAGCAAGGCTTGATCATCATCTCTCAATCTCTTCTCTTTCATTCCTTCCCCACCCATAATGCTTCAGCACTAACATAGAGGAAGCATAAGTTTATCGTAATTAATGTTATCAAAACAAAAACATAAAAAACATGCAAAATCCTTTATTTAATAACACCTCCCCATATAACAATTTTTGTTTGAGGATAATTGATAGAAATTTAAAAGCACGATAGTATTAAATAAATAAATAAAGAAGAATGTTAAAAACACTCTCTCTAATACTCACTCTTTAATTAAATAAAATACATGTGAGTCATACCACTTTATATGAGACCATATACATTAATTATTCAATAAATTTAAAAAGTCATTTTTCTCTTATAAATATGATCATAAGGAGTATTAAACACTAATCTTTTAATCAATACTCATTTTCATCCTAGTTAAGCTCAT